GCTCCGCTTCATCCTGGTCATTATTCGCTTTATTTTCCTTATAATTCGCTTTACTTTCTTTATAATTTCCCTTTATTTTCTTTATAATTCCGGTTTATTTCGCTGTCACAGCTAGAGTCGCCCGCTGCACAGCAGCTGTCGTGAGGAGGCCGGGGCTTGCGGCGTCCCAGGAGGCCTGAATCCACCCGGGTTCAACTCAAAGCGCTCAACAAACGGACGAGAATGAAATTTTCGCGTTTTCCTGACTTATTAGCTCGGTCCTGCGGGCAAGGGGTGTTCCGGGGGGCTGTGTCCCGGCGCCTGCTCCCGTTGTGTCTAGTTTTTCTCCGATACTTTCCTTTTTTGGGCCCTTGGTAACGCTGAAGCGTTCTTGCTCCCCGGGGCGGTTGCTGTCAGCCCCCAGGGGTCTGGTTTGTTGGTGCTGTGTTTTCAGCTGATCTAGAGAGACTGGACACACAAACATTGCAAGCCCTCTCTACCCGGTTTAACTTTCTTATTTAATAGTTTATATTTCATTAGCCTGATCCCAATCTTGATGGAATTCCAGTGCCCATAAGCACTGGGTGTTTGTCATCATAAATTTTCTTGCTCTTGAGATCTGTTGTCAGCTCTGAAGAGCTTTCTGCCTTTCCCAGGGATTAAGGATTTATTTTAGACAGTAGTTGCACGAGCTTCCCAGCGTTGCGCTGCCAGGAGAGTTTAAATGTCCTGGCTCTGTTCCTGCATGTTTTTCCGAGGCTGTCAGTAATAATGTATGATGAAAAGTAAATAATTCTTTTTTTTAATGGTGCGGCCACTTGTCGTTTCACGTTGGGGTTAGGGAATTTGTGCAGTGGTAAAGCAACGCTCTCGGGTGGGATTTGAACGGGCAACTTGTGCGTCTTCAGATGACTTTTTGGGGAGGTTCCTGCCTAAAAAACTTGTTGCTGCGGATAGGCTTCTCCAGCCTTCCTGGGAGCGCAGGAAGGAGCTCACGAGCTGCGTGTATGGTCCTGCTTGTGTCTCCTGCGTCTTGTCAGAGCTGGTGCACACGGGATGCACGGGGGGATTCAGGCATCGTCCTTCAGCGTGGAGCGCCCGAGCGGAGGGAAATAGTTGGGCGCAGGTGGGTGATGAGGCTGTTTCACACCATTCTTAGTGCAGGCGGGGTGTGTTTTATTTAAGCACAGGGCAGCCTAGCTTGAGGCCCGAGTTTTATTCAAGCTTTATTCGAGCAGTCCAGCTCCATGGCCGGGTCTCTGCCCCCGTCTCATAGCTGTACGGCTCTGGGGGAAGCTCCTCGCTTTTCTGACTCTGCAGAAACGCACCGAGCCCCACGCCTGACATTGCAGAGGGATTGGACACACCTCGAGTCGCTGGGGCTGATGTGAGGGAGGGGTCGGGGATGGGAAGGTGGCACGGGGAAGGGCTTGGCTTGGGCCTCGCCGCGGTCAGGCCTGGAGCCGGGAGCAGAGCTTGCACCCGCGGGGGTCTCGGCTGCTCCTCTTGAAAGTCAAAGGGGTGAGAGAGTCGATGATCTGGGGAGGACCGTGCTCCTCCTTGAAGGGATTTGTCCCCTGTCCGAAGGTTTGCCGGGCTGAGGCCCTGGAGGGGTGAGATGAGCGAGCAGCTCTATGTTTGCCCGAATATCTGTGCGTGCATCGAGGTGGTGGGCTGCTTCAGGCGGGAAGGAGGCCTGCTGAGCTGAGCAGGAGGCTGCGGAGGGTGAAACCTGCTGCACAAACGCTCTTTAGAGGATTAGTGGAAGGAGGTGCAGTGGGAGTCTGGCTCTCCTGCTGTTTGGGGGGCTCTTGAGATGTGTTTTTGCTGCCTGCGAATGCTGCCTCACACTGACAGGGATGGAGAGCTGATGGCTTGTTGGACGTCTCGTTGGTAGCCTGCTGCCAGGGGCACTCCTCTCCTTGCCGAGCCGGGCAGGGGGAACTGCTGCTGCCTCTTGGCTTCTCCTGCCCGTGCTTGTCCTTTCCATTGCTGCTCTCTGGCCGCAGGCACTTCCTGGGTCCGCCACAGGAATGAGCTGGGGGTTCAGCAATTCCTCTGCGAGGCCGGGGGTTGTACCTCTGGCTGGGTTTTGTTGCATACCTGGTGTGCTGGAGCCTGCTCCCTGCCTCGGGCTTCGCACCCCTCGATAAACAGCAGCCAAGCAGGCAGAGGAAGGAGTGCGGGAAAGTTTTGCTGCCTAATCCACGCTGACACCTCGGCTTCGCCCCAGGTTGCCCGTCCAAATGGCCTCGCCAGGGAGCCCTGCCTGCTTGGCAGCCGTCCCGATGAGCATGGTTTGCCCAAGCCTCGGGAGCCATGAGGTGGTTGTTTGGAGCAGGATGGGGCAGTGGGAAATTCCTGCTCCCTCCTGTGTCCACTGCAGGTCCCGGGGAGGAAAGGCTGCCGTCCGGGCAGAGCAGGCTGATTTCTGTCATCCTGCTGTGCCATCTTATCACGCCCTCTGGTCCCATCCGCTTCCAGAAGCCCTCACCCTCCCTCCACCCCATGGCAAAACACCACTGCTCGTCTCCGTGCCCTACCTTGATGCTCCGAGCCTTGCCGTGTTGCTTTCTCCCCCTTTTTCCTTCTCCAGAAGCTGGATGCCTGGCCGGTGAGCAGTCCAGGGTGCGTGTGGCCATTCTGGGGAGGCTGACGCTACGTGGGCTGGTCTTTAGCATAGCTTAACTGGTGGCTTGCTGGACGGGTATTGATCGCGTTGCTGATATCCACATTGGCGTGATCAGCGCTTTGCTGTCTGGGATTAATATGGATGTTTTTTCTTTAAACTTGATTCCAGAGCTCTCGATGTGTGCTCTGTGTTGTCACAAGTTAGACTTCCCAACCCCGCCATGCAGGACAGAGGCGACGTCCTCACCGCGAGGCAGTGACAGCCGAGGCCCAAGACCGCGAGGGTGGCCCGGCGGCTGGGAATGGCAGAGGCTGCGGGGTGTAAGGCCTGGCAGCGACCGGCTGGGCAGTGCGGCAAGCAGACAGAGCTGGTGAGGTCTGCTCCGGCCCTCGAGGAGAGCGTGCGGAGCAGCGGAGAGATCTGAATCCGTAACCTGCTCTGGCTTGATGGCTGGCTCTCGGGGCTGGACTGCAGGTTGCTTGGTGCAAACCGTAGAGCCCCGGCTCTCGTCCCAGCAGTCCCTCTTCTCCTGACCCCACCGACACCGCCGGAGCTGCAGGGGGGGCACCTTGTTTTTCTGTGTTAATTTTTCAATCTGCCCTGTAGAAATTCCCAGCTGGGTATTGTAAGAGATTAAACCAGCTTTCCATCTGTTTACTCTGCAAATGATGTCTCTAAATTGAGCCTAAATCTAAAATAATTTGTAGAAATGAAATCTTAATCTTTCTAACATGGCGATTAAGCTTAATAGTCACAGTTGGGGTTTCACTTTAAAGACTTATAATTTGTTTGGGGAAATCTTGAAGGCACAAAGTGAGTGTCTTCCTTTTTGTTTCTTCCATCGTGGCTGTTTGAGCCTGATACCTAATTAATTGATAGCATCTTGAGGAAGGATAGACATTTGCATAGCTCTTAAAATCCCCGTGTTAAGCCAATCCCTAGCTGCCCCACCTTCCTGAGAACACCCTCAAATAGCCCGTGCGGTCCTTCAGCTTTCTGTGCTTGGAGAGGAGCCCAAGAGGAATCTTGTCGAAAGACATTTAATGTTGATGTTCTCCTGCGATTAACACCGCGATAGGCGGTGCGCTGCTTGAGTAC